GGACGTGAAAGAGAAATGTCTTCCCAGGGCCATAGGCAGTAGAGCTCAGAGTTTTTCTACAGCTATATGGGGTACAGCCTCAACTCAGAGTTGAGGTGGGAGGCCTGCAATCTGCTGACAAAACCCAGATTTTTTGAGGGAGAGGGATTCTGATCTGGACTAAAGCCTGTCTGCAGGGATGGCTCTGCTCTTTACACCTCTCTGCAGCTCCTGGCATGACTGACAGAGTTCTCTGCCAAATGCTTCGCGCCAAGTGAGGCAGAGGCACAGGTTGCCTACCTGCCAGTAAAGATGCTGAGCTCCAATGTGTCCAGCTCAATTTTTCCTGAGGCCTACAGCTCAGGAAAAATCAGTGTCAGCACTGCCTGCAAGTCAGAGCAAGCAAGACCTAGTAAGCCCATGGGGTACAGAGGGAGCAGCAAAGCAGGGTCACACATCCTCACCAATTGCATGAGAGGACTCACAATGTTAGCCAACCAGATCTTCACTAAGTGGGCACTAGGGACCATACAACATCCCTAAACAAAACTCTCTCTGAAAGGGTAAGCAGCTCCTCCAAGTTGCTGGACAACTGTAACCTGCCATCAAGACCAACACTTGACATGTAACAGTCTGTTCTGATCATGGAATGGGTCTAGTTCATGTGCTCACTGGTGTTGTCACATCACAGCCCAGCTGTATCTTTGGGGGATGTCATTTTTTCTGGAAATCAACCAGACCACTGCCCCTTCCTTTTCTGGGTCCTCACCAATCTGTTCCAATCCCTGACTCTGTCATTGAGAAGAGCTGTCAGTGTCATGTCAGTCTAAGAGCTTCAACTCAGGGACTACATACACCTGCAAAAGTACTTACAGAACCCCATATAGCAGGACCCTAATCTTAAATGGGTCCATGTGTGCTGCCAAAGCAGATACATTAACTAATGACAGTGGACTTCACAGCAACTTCCCCCACCCCCAGGGAATTTCTTAAAAAAAACCCACAACCAAAACTTTAGGCCCAAACATAACAATTCTGTGGCCGTCAGTGCCAGGACAGAGCCTGAGATTGCAGCAGCTGCCCCTTTGGCTTTGATCATTACCTCAATGAGACCTTCTTAGATGGGTCAGGCTGCTAAAGCCCTGGGCCCAGCCTCTAGGGAGATGCGAGGCATGTGCTAAGGCAGATCACTGCTACCCTTGGTGTGACTGCAGCCTGACTGTACAGTCCATTGAAGGTCTTTGCAATTCAAAGCTGGAGCATGCAGCTTTTACTCAACTTGATTCCTTCCTTTAGAAACCAATTTATAGTGAAACTGGTGCAAAGACAGCCATTACACGCATTTATACATCTGCAGCGAGGCTGTTCCAATGCACTGTAATTACAGCTTGTCAGAGCAGACTCAATTAATCAAGTGTGCTGGAGCGTGGTAAAAACTGCTCCATCAGATTCCAGTGTCGTGTATCAGCATCCCTGAATTGAAAAATGGCAGCAGGAGCACTTTAAAGCTTGTTTGTGCACAGGAAACTGCAGGCACAATGGTGAGGAGGGAGCAGCAGACAGCCCCATTGTTAGATCTTCTGTGGGAGACAGATGGGAAGGACAGCCAGGGTACAGGGAGGATGTGTTTTGTGTGCTGCCAGCAGGCCAGTTTTCCCACTTACTAAATGAAGCATGAACCATCATGTCTGTTTCAAACTGGCCAGAGAGCTGGCCATGCTCGAGACCAAGGCTCATCCCCCAGAGGATTCAATAAGGGATGCATATTCCCCATTATTAAAACAAGCTCATCTTAGAGTCTTTGCTAGTACAAGACTTGGCCTGGGACACAGAGACAGTCATGGGCTTGCAGCCCAAATGGGTTAGTGGCTCAGTGGTCTTCATTATGTGGGTTACAATCACAGAAAATTAAGGTTGGCAGGGACCTCAGGAGGTCATCTAGTCCAACCCCCTGCTCAAAGCAGGACCATCCCCAACTAGATCATCCCAGCCAAAGCTTTGTCTAGCTGGGTCTTAAAAACCTCCAGGGATGGAGACTCTACAGCCGCTCTGGGTAGCCTGTTTCAGTACTTTACTAACCTCCTCACAAGAAAGTTTTTCTTAATATCCAACCTAAACTTCCCTTGCTGCAACTTGAGACCACTACTCCTTGTTCTGGTATCTGTCACCACTGAGAACAGTCTAGCTCCATCCTCTTCACAACCACCCTTCAGGTAGTTGAAAGCTGTTATTTAATCCCCCCTCAGTCTTCTCTTCTCCAGACTAAATAGGCCAGTTCCCTCAGCCTCTCTTCATGCCATACTCCCCAGCCCTCTAACCATTTTCACTGCCCTCTGCTGGATTTGCTTCAATTTGTCCACATCCTTTCTATAGCGGAGGGCTCAAAAGTGGACACCGTATTCTGGATATAGCTGAACAGAGGGGAATAATCACTTCCCTCAATTTGCTGGCAATGCTCCTACTAATGCAGCCTAGTATGCTGTTAGCTTTTTTCACAACAAGGGCACACTGTTGGTTCATATGTAGCTTACTGTCCACTGTAACACCCAGGTCCTTTTCAGCTACTTAACCAGTCAGTTCCCAGTCTTGAGAGATCTCAAGACACGTTCCTAGACCTCCATAACACAAACACACCAGCATCTGCTTTCCTCATCTTGGCAGAGGCTAAATTCCTTTTCCTTCTGCCTAGAAGGTGCTCAGTCACCCGAGGCATGCTGGCAGAGTGTAGGCACCAGAGTCTCCCCACATCAAGTGGGAGCTGCTCCCCTGGAGCCATCAGGGGACCCAACCCATGCAGTGTCTTCCTGCCAGAGTTCTCCCCACAGAGAGGGGCTATGGCAGTAAGAGCACCTGACTTTCACCCCAGCAGATGCAGGCTGGTGCCGTCTGAGGGAGCATCAACCCCTGGATGCTAAACAGAAGCCCCCAGGAAAGTGGTGCTTCCCCTTGCACCTTTTTGCCATTTGTGCCTGTCAGCCCCAGTACAATGTAAGAAAGCTGCCAGCTAGTGCAATGAGGCCATGCATGGGGACAAAGGGCCTGCAACATGAGCTCAGACACAACAAAGGTACCTCCATACCCAGGACAGCGGATGCCTAGCTTCTCACACAGTGGCTGTAATAATGTCATCCACTGATTTTTAAGACCCCTTGTATTGCAAAAGGGATGTGAAACAAAGCGTGGCCCCAGCCACCGATATGCAGCTACCCCAGGAGGAAGGGCAGCAGCCATCCTCAGTGCACAGCCATTTTCCACAGCAGCACAGGAAAGGAAGAAGACACCTTACTGCCTATGCTTGGGAAGGAAAACACAGGGAGGTAGGATGTGATATGGGGCAGAGGCAGCACTGTTTCAATGAAATGTGCCCCCAAATCTACAGAGGTGCTCAGAGCTCTGGCTCTCTGTTTACAGCTCATCTAAAACACTGCAGGGTATATTCTCCTGATTGCAGTTTCACAGTATCTCCCTGATACATGACAATGGAAATGATGAAGGTGGCAGGCTGCACTCCTGTTCCAGCCCATAAACGTTAGTTTGTCATAGGAAGCTGCCAAAACCAGTGGTCAGGGTCAGGGAATAGTTTGCTCCCCCAGGTCATCTCCCTGCAAGGCTCCATGGCACTGTCTCAGATGCCAATAGAGGAATTACATCCCACAGGGCTAGGAAACAATAGCAAGCACTTGGAGAAGGAAAATCCTGCCTCTCTCAACCTGGCCTGAAGCAGGGGAATGTGACATGGACCTGGAGTGCCACAGTGACAAAGCACAGCCAGGATGAGCACAGGTACTTGCTCCAAGACAGCTCCACCAGCACAAGAGTACAATACATCTGGAGGGCCCAACTCCATTCACCCATGCCAATGCAGTACAGGGCATAAACAGGCAACCCATGCGATGATCCGAAAGCCACAGCACAGCAGCTGCACTAGGTGAACAGATTACTACTTACACATGATCCTGCACTGCATGGGCACCCCCACCCACAGCATGGGAGTCAAATCCTACCACATCCCAAATCAGACCACAGGTGAAACCTGCTTCCTGTGTCAGTCGACTAGACCCCAGACCCATCTGCATCCTGCAGTGACCTACACTGGAGACTGGATGATCAACCACAATATCCAGAACAGTTGGCACCTAGCACTCTGGAATGCTTCTGGCATAAAGGCCAATCTGGACCTGGACCCTGCAGGGAGAGGAAGGCAAGCAAGGCTTAGAGCAGCTGGGCATGCTGGCCCAGGCTGCAGCAGTAGTGAAGAGTGGCTTTCAGGAGCAGTCAGGCATTTTGGCAGAACTGCAGGGCAAGATCCATGGTAAGAGACAGAACTAGAGGGCACTCACTCTCCACACCTCAGCCCTGGGCCTTGCCTGCCTCCTCTAACGAACTCAGATGAAGCAATGTCGAAGACAAAAGACCTTACTGCGCTGCCTGCCCAGCAGCCTTATAGCGGTCGGTGAAGTGGTTGCCGTCCTTAGCACACTGATAAATAGTCTTCTTGTGGAAAGGGACTGGTTTCATGTGCCAATACCCCCCTCACCTGAAGGGCTGCTGAACAAACACATGGATATTCTCCATTAGAACCAGTGTCACATAATGCAAAGTGTCCCTGGAAAGGAGACAAGGGATACCTGCTCCTGGATGCCCTCTTCCCTTCCTCTCAGCATGAAGTTGGGGTCTTTGAAACTGGTCCCCATACAAAGACTTGCTGGTGGGAGGGGGAGGGTGGGCTCTCTGCCTCTGTGCCCAACAGAGAGGTAATACTCATGTTTCCCCTGCAAGCCCCACTTTAGGCTTCAGGGTTTAGCCCAGAATCTTTGGGGAGGGTCCAATGCCACAATTATCCACTGGGGAGCAAGATGCCCTTCTGTTTGCCACATACAACACTGAGCTCATGGCTAGTGCCAAGATATATCACCATCATCACCTTGCTCCCAGCCCTAGGAAATCTCTAGCATTCCACAAAGCAGCCAGCTGCCTCCACCCCTCAAAACAGAGCCTGCACACACTCCCGTCTGCCTTACCTCCCCTGTGCCGGGAAAGGAGCAGAGACTCCGACCTGTCCATGGCTACACGGCAGAAGCTCACGGCTCCAGACGAAGTGTTGCGGCCAGTGAGAGTGGCAAAGAGGGGCTACTGGAATATCTGCCTGTGTGACAGAAAAGTCCGTGCTGAAGATCGCCCCAGGCTGTGCCCGCTGTGCAGTGGAACTCCCTGCAGAGTCAACCCTGCTTCCATGCGGTGCCGCTCACCCCAGCCAGCAGCAGCCAGGAGGAGGATGTTCCCAGACCACTCTGGAGCAGCAATGGCTCCTTTGCTGGAGGTTAACACTGCTGTCCAAGGGCTCTGCTCTGTCACAGGCTGTGGAGAGCTTGCTTTTTGCTGCCCAGTGGATCCTGTCTTGTAAACACACCAAAGGGTGAACAGCTCCTGCCTACCCCACCCCCAAGCCTTCTCCAGCCCAACAGGGAGAGGAAATGACCAGGAACTGGCTGTTTGAGTCAGCTCCCTACAGCCCATTGTCATGGCCCATTCCCTCTTCCTTCCCTTGTGCACTGGCTTGCGGAGGAGGGGGGAGGCGGATGGAGAGAAGGCTTGTTTTTCCAGTCTCTTTTTCTCTGTCCCACACAGCCATTCCTTTTGGCATGGCAGGGATGTGATTTGGGCTCTTCCTTCCTGGGCAACATTTCTGTGCCCAGCATTCCTAGAGTTGCGATGAAACCCTATGGGAAGCTGGGGCTGTCCTCTGGTGGCAAGGGCCTCATGCTCAGCCAATATAAACTGGCAAAGCTCCACCAAAGCCAGTCCCCTTGCAGCCAGTGAAGCTGCCCTGCTGGGCACCAGCTGAGGACCCATTTCTCAGTATTGATGCCCTCATCTGCTCCTTGAAATGCTTCTATAAACAAACCAAGCCACCTCTTTCAGAGCAGCTACAAGGGCGTCACTGCCAGGATGGCTATGCAATGAGCTGATCACAAACCAGGACATGTCACATCTTCTCTGCAGTGCTCCAGGCTGAGGTGCTGCTTCAGCACAGGGTCTTACCTGTATCACCAGCAACCCTAACTCTAGCAGCACGGTGCCTAGGATGAGGCCACTATTGTTCTCTCCATTTACTGGGGGAAAGGGACATTCCCAAGGCCACAAAAGCAGAACTGGGCTTGGACCCAGGTCTCCTCACACCCAGGAAACTGCCCCATCTTCCTCTGCCCTTTGACTTCAAGCAAGTCTGAGTCTTTGTAACTCTGGGAATCTCTAAGAACCTGGAGGAGGTGTCCTGGAATGAAGGGCAAACACTCTGCACTTACAGGGCAGGCTCTGGCTGCTGGCCTGTGTTACTGTGTAGCTCAGGTTAGGGGAATAAGAATACAGGGAATGAGATATTTTTAAGACACATGGTCTAGCCACAGTCCCACAGAGTAACTTCCCTGCCAAAAACTGGTCATCTTGACAATGCTTCCCAACCAGCATGTTTCATCCTCCCGAGGAGCCCATCATCAGTTACAAGCCAGCTCACAACCTCTACTCTGTGCCACACCAGGTCAGTGCCAGCATTCAGAACTGGCACCTATTCACACACTCCCAGGACTCCTCCATTCCTGTGACCAGTGCCTTAGGAGGGGCTGGATGCTGCTAGGCAATATGCTCCCTTAGGCACAGAAGCCAGTGAGAGCAAAGGGCCCCCAGCTCCATGAACATGCATGTTTACATGCATCTGAGTGGACATGTGGCCATGTGTGCAAGGTGCATGTTGCCTGATCAAGGCCTAGTATAAGAAGGCCTAGTATAAGAGGTTTCTGGGGCTCCTCTTAGCAGCATAGTAAGATGGGGAGTCCCTCTGTGCTGCATCTGGGCCCCACATCCCAGCCTCAGCCCAAACTCCCTCTTTCCTTTCCAATCCTTCAGCTCCCAAGGGAACACTGCCTGTCCTGTACTGCCCTGGCACTGCCATCCCATGGTGTGTCTGACCTCTATCCTGGCTGCACATGGCACCTGATGGACCACAGGCTACACAGCATCCTCATAAGACAAAGCTGTCTCTGGGCTCTGCTCCTTTGGACTGTGTTTCTCAGCCCCTAGAGGGTGAGAAAGATGTACTGCAAAGGCTCAGAGGCAAGGACAGGCACCACCACTGACAGCAAGGGGGCTTTTCTGTACAGGTGTGGAGCGCTTCCCTGGTGAGGCTCTCCGCCCTCATCTGAAGCACCTGTCTAGAAGAGGAGCTGCTGGGGAGGCTGTGACCCCAGTGCTCCTGCTGCCAATGACTGGTCTGACATCCACGGCCTCTGAAGGCCATCCGCTCCTGCACCACAGGAGGCAGTCCTAGCACCCTGTCCAGTCATCCAGGCAGCTGCAAACAGAAAAACATGAAGCACAGACAGCACGAAGGGATGACATTACCTTGCCCCAAGTCTAGTACAGCAGGGGGATGATGCAGTGTGCAGTTCCCAAAGGTGACTACTCAGAGCTCTGCAGACTGAGGATCAGCTCAGACACCCCATTAACCTTACACTGGATTGCCCATCCACCACTTTGAGCAGTCTGGCTCCTGGATCCCTACCAGCACTCCCCTCAAGGTACACCTCCAGCAGGCACCTTCCTCAGAGAATGGCTAGAGGCCAATGTACAACTAGCCTAGGTGAGAAGGCCAGAGAGAGAGCCCTTGGCTATATAGGCTTCTGTATCCCAAGGACGAGATAGGACAGAAGAGCTCATGGCAGCTTCCTGCACACACCTATATGCACATGTACCACATATACACATGTGCAGGAACACATTCCCCCCGCCATCTCAGCACCCAGCTGGGGAGGAAGCTGTCACAAGGGCCCATTTTATTTGTGGTCTCTCTACTGAGGTAGCTCCTGAAGAGGCTAAATAATGCCAAATATGAAGGGTCTGTGGTGTGGACAAGCAGCCGGCCTAGGCTCCTCCTGCTCATTTGACACAGAGTAGACTTCAGAGCAGGAATGCTCAGGACTGAGAGTTAGAGGCTCCTGAGCCCATGCCCATCCCTTACCCCTGGGTCTGGAAGCCATACTGTGCATCTCTTTCTTCTACAACCTCTACACTGTGTCTGGGACAGGCTTGGTAACCCTCTGGCTGGGGAATCCCTGTCCCACCCCCAGCAAGTTTAACAGCTACCTTTAATGACAGCTAGGACTGGGCCTGAACCAGGGAACTCCAGCCACGCCCCTTCACTGCAGGAGGATACAAACGCAAACCTATGCCTCAGGGCCTCCCACTGAAGTTTTCGTTTCAGCCCTTTACATAAAGACAAAACTCAGGTCTCAGTTTGTGATAAAATAAACAAGACTCCCTCCCTCTCCCCACCATTTGGGGCATTCTTTCTCCTGGGCTGTTCTGGACAGTAGGTAGTAAGAGGCCTGCATTCTCCCATTGATATGTGCACTGACCACTTTCGTAGCTGAGAAGAAAGAACAAGCCTGAAGCTCTTATAAGGGCAATCCAAGGAACTTTGAGCAAAGCTGCACACTGACCTCTGACTCTGTCTTTGTACACTGTCCCAGTGCTGAGGAAGTCAGTGTGATAGTCTGCCCAGAGGGCTTCAGTTGCCCACTCTGCTATCCCCATGGACACTTAGTATTTGTTCTTTTTTTGGCTGATCCTGTGAAGCTAGCAGCATTTACTGAGCTCCATGTGTGCATTGGAAATGCCACACCTGGCTGACTGACAGCTCAGATGGGGCGGTCAGCAGAGGGACTGGTGCACAATTATTTTAGGTGGGTGAGGAGGGTAAAATGAGGGGCATAGTGTGAAACTGCACAAAGGGAAATGCAGGATCCCCACTGGAGGAGATACTGAGAAGAACAATGCAACCCTTTGCATAGGAGGGAAGGCTCCTGAATCTGCAGGGACAGGAACTGAACAGGCCTTTCCCTTTGCTAACTGCCAAACATTATACCAATGCAGCCCACCAATCTCTCCTGCCAGCCTCTGCTTCCTACCAAGGACTCTGGGGCTGCCAACCCTGACACATCTGCTCCTCTCACCTAGGTCAAATACAATACTACTTTGTAGACAAGTGCTAAATCCACCACACCCTGAACCAGGAACTAGGTTCCACTCTGTTGAACCACTTCCTTGTTCTACTTTTTGAAGGTTTTTTGTTACAAAGTGGCAAAAAATTCACAAGACACAGCTTTGCACCTTGGCTAATAACTCTATTTTTGGGTATCATAATCCATAAACCCTTCATCCAACTGAGTTTAGAAAGAACCTACATTAGCCATAGCCTTACCTTACTAACTGTGGGGCCAATGGGTAAAATTGATATGTAAAGTACCTAACTTAGAATCCTAAATCTCATTGTCGTTAGAACCTAAATCCCATTAAAATCAATGAGATGTTGTTTTTAAGTGAAAATCCATTTTGGAAATGGGATTTAGGATTCTAAGTTTCTTTGGCACTTCTGAAAATTGTCCCCAAAACTCCTTAATCTGTGAATTTCAGAAGGGAACCAGAATTATTTCTCTAAAGGAAAGTCAGCTGTAACCCCAAACATGAACAAGCATTTCCTCACAATGAGGAACAGAGGAGAAGTTGCAGCATCACTATCACCCAGATACAGTTGGAATTTAAATGAAAAAGGAAAAAGCACCATTTGTACAGTGATCTCTAGTAGATCCATCTCTTGACTCCAGACCCGTCTCCTCCTGGTCAAGCTAAAATCTCAGCCTCTTTCTCTCTGTCATTTCATGGATGTCTAGGTGTCAAGAAGACCTCTGCTATCCTGCTTGTCACCAAGGCCCATATCTTGGGTGTCATCTTCTATCCAGGGCTTTCTTTCAGTACTGAGACTTCAACTCCTGCATCTGAGCAGGCCATGGTGTCAGCTCCTATTGCCCAGTGATTTTATTTGCCAATATCGTTCTCTTATGCTACTCCTCTAACCTGGGAAGAACTCCCTGTAAATATTCACAAAGCTACCTTGTTATCTTTCTGCAATGATGTCTACCATAAACATGACAATGTGGAGGCTGCTGGTGCGCTAGAATCTCTTTCTATCATGCTGACCAATTTTATCTTGTCATACTTCTGTCATACATCTGGCTGTTTGTATCCTCTTGTTGCCCTGTCATACAGTTCTTCAACTATAAACTCGGTGAGGCAGGGAGCATTTTTTGTTCTGTTATTGTACAGTGCCTTGCACAGGGCCCCAGTCAACACAACAACAACACGTGGTGGCTGAGGGGTGGGGAAATGCCTGCAGAACCTATGTTACATGGGCACAGGTAATCCAGCAGCTAATGGTGGCCATGTGACGATCACAGATCAAATGGTTCAGCTAGCAGGTTCTGCGCTGGTGTAGAACACTGTGGCATGGAAAGGCCAGGGAGCTGGAGTTAGACTAAGATATGGAATTGGCTTCCTTTGCTCACCTTTAACAGACTCTCAGTGCA